AGCTCATTTCAACTATAGCGACTTTCAAACCAGCTATACAACTTCTTCTTCTCCTCTGAAGAGATGTCTTTTAGATTATACCGCTTTTAAAAATCGCGCTTTGTTTGTTATTGACTGTTCCAAACAAGAGGAAACCATGAAATCATCAACTGTTGATGTTAGATTGGATATCGAAGCCGATACTGGCTTTCCAACCAACACCAAGGCCTACTGCATCATTATACATGACTGCTTAATCGAGTACTTCCCCCTCACCGAAGTTATTAAAACCATCTCGTAAGCAACGAAGGACTCTCAGTTCCGCATCAGACATCATGAGGATCGCGTTTGTTGACATTCAAGGCTTTACAGTTGACGGATTATTCGTACCTAAAGAACTATGTATCGAAATTGGTTTCAAGAAAAGTCATTACATCTTTACACCTCCGCAACCTTTTTCTACATTAAATACTAAAGACAAGAAAACTGTCGCTTACTTGGAGAAGAATTTCCATGGGCTTAAATATTCTTCCGGCGACGTTAAATATTCCAAGTTAAATGAAATAATTAAAAATAAGGTGATATATGCGGCTGACTATGTCTACGTTCGTGGAGAACAGAAAGCAAACTTTTTACTCAAGAAATGTCACATTTTTGGTGTTTTTCCCAACATTATTGATGTTTGCAAGTATGATGGTACACCGTGTGCTACTGGAAACTTTGTTGCTGATTCCAATCCATGCCACACCAACGGACAATTTTCCTGTACCCAGAGAAATGTTGAACGTCTACGCCACTGGTTTTCAAATATCATATTACCTATGTAGTTTTTTTTCTATTTTCAATAAAATATTAAACGTATTATTGTAGTTTTATTGAAAATACCTCTGGTTTGCGAAATAATTGTCAGAATGTCTATACTATTTTCATTTTGAACGGTATCATCCTGTATAATAATAACAGTACATCGTATACAGGTTATGAGACATTCTGACCGACCGACCGACCAGAGGAGCCCACCACGCTATTTAGGTCACGCCTTGCTATATACGATTTAACGATATACCGTCGGTCCATCGATCCGCTATTTTTCGATGCACCCCTGTATACACGTTGCCCCCCGTAATCCACGCCAACACCAGACAGGTGCGACATCTGGCCATCTATGCGCGAGATGCCCAACCCATCAATGGCAGCTGTCCAATGACGCATAGATTCCGTTTGGTTTGTACAGCGCCAAACAAATCGGCGCCATCTATGCGCGAGATGCCCAACCCATCAATGACAGGTGTCCAATGACGTATAACAGATGACGTGTAACGCCATCTATGCGTGAGATGCCCAATGACGCATGACAGGTGTCCAATGACACACAGATTCCGTTTGGTTTGACAGCGCCATCTAGCGGCGGAATCCCCAACTCATGATTACAGATTCCGTCCAACAACCTGTCAATGGCGCGCGACGCCAGCGCCTCTGGTGGCGGATTTTGGAAGTTTTGAGACCGAATCCCCATAAGACATCTACTCGCGTGATTTCGCGCAGAGGATATGTGCCATGGCCACCAAGATCGTGCGATTTGACTCCCTTGGACTTCTTTTTATGGGGATATTTGAAAAGCAAAGTCTACGTCAACAAACCAGCCGCCCTCCAAGAACTCAAAAACAACATCATTGCCGAGATAAATGCCATAGAACCGACCGTGTTGCAAAATGTCATTGAAAATTTCGACCATCGCGTGGACGTCTGTAAATCCAGTCGTGGTGAACATTTGAGCGATATTATTTTTCATACATAAATGGTATAAATGCACCTTCAAAATAAAGTACCCAACTTGATTTGAATATCAATCTTTCTTGTTTTAATATGCGTTTACTTTCCTGCTTCCGTTTTGGACAACCCCATAGAAGCAAGGAGTTACCTGTTAAGAAATATCCACTCGACCTTCAAATAATTTTAAAGGTCATGGACAAGGTAGCGGTCAAGTATAGTGACCTTCACCGTAAAATATTTAGCTTTTTATATCCTCGACAAAAAGCAAGGGGTCTACTTGAAAATTGGTCTGATTTTAAAATAACCTCGAAGGTCATAATCAGGTTAATTGGCAAGAATATACTTGGACCTAAAATTTTCTGCAATTTGCATTCCAGGAATTAGAAAGAGATGTTCACGGATAAACATTAATTTGAGCTAGTCAAGGTCGCGGACATACTTGAAAATAGAGTTTCTTGCTCTTTTTATTTCTAGTGTCAAAAATAGAAGCTTCCATTTAGAAAACTGCCTTGACGTTCGAATGAGCCCAAAGATCAACATTTTTCTTTATAAAACGCCCTTTCTGCACGTCCTCACACCCATGAAGATCGTAATAAAGGTCATGGGCAAAGATATACTTTAACATTCAATTTTCCTCTTTTTACATTTCCGCGCTAAAGATAGGGGTTTCATTTAACAAAACGCTCTTGACTTTCAAGGACAATATGATAAGGGGGGGTCTAGTGATACCTTATTTTAAAGGTCTTTCAATTCCCTTTATAATATTGTAAAATACATGAGCTTCAGTTCAGTAGTTTTGAAGATTTATTGATTTAAAGCTTAAAGTAGGATTTAATAGGTACATCAGATTAGTTTGTACTACTTTCAGAAGAAATTTGACTAAAAGAATTTACTTAATAAGTAAATGCTTTTCTTCACTACGCCCATGGTTTGTTTATCATTTTCTTTTTTGTTGTTGAAAATAGCTATTGGAGCGTCTTTTTTGTGGCAAAAAAGTTATTTCTTGAAGAAGGATAAGGAAATATCTCGTACTTATTTTAAATAAGAATTTAGTATATAGTTTGCGATTGATTTGACCAAACTTTGTTGCTAAAATAACTTGTAACGCTTTATTACATAAATTAACCATGGTATATTCCACAGCAGAAAAAGTGCGCTAATAGAACAGCAGAAATATTTAATGAGCGACATGAGAACAGTAAAGTGCATCGAAAATATGTTCTAGAACTTGTAGCTAAATTTCGGGAAACTAGGTCAGTCGCCAATAAAAAACGCTACATTGCAAATCCCATAAGGAAGCAATAGAAGTGGGGGTTTTAGGGCAAGCTTATGTAGATCCTACGTTAAGTACCCGCAAATTGGAGACTATGTGTGGTGTTAGTCGACGTACTGTCCAACGGATTTTAAAGGCCCATAGTTTTCATCCGTATAAAATTCACCTGGTACAAGAACGCAATGCACACGATTTTGATCGGCAATTACAATTTTGTGAAGATATGAGTAAACGAAGTATAAACGATGAACATTTTCTATTCAACACTTGCTTTTCTGACGAATGTTGCTTTATCTAAAATGGCGTAGTAAATCGTCATAACTGCCGATATTGGTCCGATTCTAATCCCAGAATTTATCATGAGGTTCATACACAGCAGCCACAAAAATTAAATGTTTGGATTGGTATTTTTGGCGATCATTTAGTTGGTCCTTTTTTCTTACCTGAAAATTTGACCGGTGCAATCTATTTGGAATTACTGGAAGACAGCATAGATCCTGCATTAACAGCCAAATTGAAAGTCAGAATGATCGGCGGTACATTGCGAATAGGTTGATGTTCCAACAGGATGAGCCCCACCACATTACGCATTACGTGTTCGACAATATTTAGATCAGACGTTTCCAGATCGATGGATTGGTAGAAGAGGTGCCATTGAATGGCCCCCAAGATCGCCAGATTTATCACCTTTGGATTTCTTTATGTGGGGTCATTTAAAATGCAAAATCTATGCTACTCAGCCAACATCATTAGAAGACCTGCGACAAATATTGCAAAATGTGAGGCAACGTTTTGAGCAAAATCTTTATTATTGCATGGAGAGTCATGGTGGCCATTTTCAACATTTACTTGCCTAACGGGTCAGTTCATTCTTCAATTTTAAATTATTTTGCTGCCAAATGTATTGATTTCCACTAATGATGATGCATTAGTTTTATTTAAGCTTTAAATCAATAAATCTCCAAAACTACTGAACTGAAGTACATTAATTTTGTATCATCATAAAGGGAATTGAAAGGCCTTTAAAATAATATCACTCAACCCCCTTTCAAGTTAAGATTTTGGGGGTGGTGTCACCCCCGCTTAGGGGGCTGCACGTGCTAACGTGATTTTTTGCCAAACTTTTGTCCCCCTCGAAAACAAAACCGACGGGTCTGAGCGTTTTTCAAAAAAAAACTGAGCTGCCAGTAAATGTGTCTGTTTCGTTTTCGATGAGCCACCCTGTTTATAAATATACACAGTCAGTGAAGAACGTTGAGGCGCGTGTATTCTACATTGGCACGTTTCACGTGTATTCTTATTGGATATAACTTAGCGTGGCCTGAGCCAAATTAAAACTAATCTCAGCCTGATAAAAAAAGCTCCGCTATTTTTCTATTAACAGTTAAATAATAATAATAGTTTTTTTCATAACTTAAATGCTAAAAAACTGTCAGTTTTGATATAAAAGTGTTTATTTTAACTAATAATACGATAGAATATGAAATAAGGACAAGCTTCTTAATCGTTGGAAGAGAACTTTTTTAACAAAAGCAAAAATAGATTTTACATGACATAACGACCTAAAGTTAAACGCAACACCAACAATACAAAATCGCTCTACAAAATAAGATAATAAAACATATTTTCAAATAATGTTCAAGGCTTATTTTGGCACAATTTTGTGCTTATCAAAAAACATTTTAAGCAAAGAAATTTTAGTTGACAAACTTGGCATTTAGTTGTAACTTGTTTTGTTTTACTTTGCATAAGGTCGTCTGTGTTTATCTTTATTTAGTTGGTAGCTTCTACGCATCTACTTTTTTCCTGCTTGAATAAATTTATGTTCTGCGGGTGTGACATGGGGATAAAATTTTGTTTACCTTTTGAAAGTAATTTCAAGCATAATTTTTCTTCGAAGTCTGTTACACTTGTTCTTTCTCGTGCATTTTTATCCTTATTATATACGTTAAATGATGGGCGTTTACTATGCTTATTATAGTAAGTAACTCAACAGCCACCTTCCTGTACCATTTGATACCCCATCTGAGGTAGAACAGGATGACAACTGGTCGGATACTTCGATAGAGCTTTTTGCATCATTATAAGCTACAATAGCTTCCGGCTTCTTTTTGGCCTCAGTTCTGCCTGTGACTTCAACGAAGCTGAGTTTATGCCTAGTGATAAGCATAAGCACATCTCGCTTATCTCTTCATTTGAAAATAACGATGCCGTTTTTCTTTCTGCCTACAATTTCACTATTCTTCAGTATAAGTGGACATTATTTATTTCGGAATACCTCTACGATTTTTCCGTAAGGTTTCAGCTAAATGCGTTTTCCTGCCTTGTAATGTTTCAGCTAATTCTATGCTGGTGTACTAGTCAGGAATAAATGAACCGCGCAACACGACATTTGGGGCAGAACTAACATATATTACCACATCAACGCTACTGTTATGGACAATAAATCACAAGTCTGAAGAGTGTATCCAGACCTATACACGCGGTGGACAACAAAGAAATGTTCTTCCAGGCCACGTGTATATCTTTTGTACACTAGGCAGATTACAAAGTAATACAAAGAAATTATATAGATGACAAACCATTTCAAACACATTTTCATAAAAAAAATAGTGTGGCACACGGGACTGATCTGGTGATTTTGGTGTGGCAGTCAAAGTGTTAAGCATAAGAAAATGCCTCGAGTTTGAAGACGTTCAAATTATCACCATGTTAGCGACTTTGACAGGGGTAGAATTATTGCCTACCGAGATGCAAGTTTGTCTTATTGCGAAATTGTCCGCCGTGTTAATTGTACTGCAATAACGGTAATGCGTGTGTGTCATGTGTGGATAGAAGAAGACGGAGGAACACGAAGAAGGCCAACTGGTCCACAGAATGTCAAGATAGGCGCTTCAAACAACTAGCACTACAAGACCATTTTGCTACTATGCGTAAAATCGTTGACCAATGGTTTGAAGAAGAAGGTATCGCCGCGTTCGGGCCTTTGGACTTTTTTCATTCCGTCCACGGCTTGTGCTTCCTCTGACTGCGGCCCACTGTCGTTGGCGTTTGAACTGGCGCAGAGAACGGTAACATTGGGAGGCAGAATGGCATAATCTTCAGCGATAAATCGCCTTAATGGACAAGAAGTCATTTTTTGCAATAAACAGGCATCCATATTATTTCCGTCTTTGCGCAAACTGGTTTCCTCCGAAAATGTTATTTCACTTGCTTAGTGGCTAGAAACTAATGAACGAATCCTCAATTGTTTACCCCTTTTACCAAGGCTCTGAAAATTCTTCACTTGCCTTTCAAAAGTTCTTGTTGATTCTTGGTCTGAAGTAACAACGTTTTTCTTGGAAGGCGGAAATGCTTGGTTCAACCAAGCCTCATTTTTCTTAATAAGAAACTTCTTATCTCTATGACAGGGTTTCCATCTAATTTTCACATTTTTTATAAAATTCGTCATATGTTTGTCTAATGTTGTACATTAATGTTTTTGTGGTGTAAAAAATATGATTTAAGCGCTTTTAACAGCTAAACTTTGTTTTTGGTTCTGCTTAAATACCACTTAATAAATGAGTCAATATTTTTTATTTTGGTTGGTTTCTGTCACGCACTAAACTATAAAAATTGATCTATAAAAGTTGCAAATATTTCCAGCTAGTTTTTTTCATTATGTGCACATTTTAAACTTGTTTTTAAAACATGGAAATACCTCCACTTTTTCATCGGAACACATTAGTGTTAAACTTCTGAAGAAATTGCACGGATTTACTAAAAATATGCCACGACAGCGCAAAGCGACTGTCAACATTTCGTTCGAATTCAGTTGTTTTTCCAAACGTCAACTATATTGAACTCATTAGGTCAGAGCCTTCTGTCATTACAGTTTCGGCATAGGGCACGCCTAAATTTTAACAAAATTTATGATGAAAATTGATAAAAAATATTTTTTGAAAAAAGAAAATGTTGCAAATAGGTATGTTTGGCTTTAAAAAAATATTTTAGCAGAAAAAGTAAAGAGAAATATAATATATTTATATTTGGTTACTTTTCTCGTAGAAATGCTGCCCTCTGAACTACTGTGCGCCGCCGTGAAGACCAGCGTGAGAGGGATGTACACAGGACTGTTGGAGTAATGGTTTGGAGGGATATTGCCTATGGTAGCCGATCATCCCTTTTCTTTGCTTAAATATGACTGCTGGGTGTAATGTTGATTGTGTCCTACGAACCACTTTACTGTCATATCTAGAGGGCCGACCATACGTCCTTTTTAAGAAAGACAACGCACATTCCCATATTGCTTGTCGTACTGCGGACTTTCTTCAAGAAGCAGACGTTAATGTTTTGTCGCGACCACCCCGTTCTCCGGATAAAATCCCATCGCACATGTGTGGGACATGATGGGGAGGAGACTATCCACTTTGCACCATCCGCCACAGGCTCTGCCACAGCTAATCCCCGAAGTTCGAGTTGCTTGGAATGAGGTGCCACAACCAGACATCGATCATCTCAGTCTGTCGATGCCTAGACGTATTCAGGAGTGTGTTCAGATGCGGGGTCGCCCAACGCATTATTAATTTTTTTTCTTATTGTCAATAAAATTTCGTGACAATGTTATCGTTTCATTCTTGATGTAAAACTACCTCATTGCCACAAAAACGTCGCTGAGTATATTTTGAACTATCCATACTTGTATATTTTTGCGGATAAAACCATGAATACATCCTTCCTCTAGTTTTATTTAGTAAGTGTACAGGTTTTTACGTCTCTCCTTATTATGGTTCACTTGAACTCAACATGTCACTTGTTCCATTTTAAACGTCGTGGCCCTATTTCCATCACTACTCCTATGTATAAAAGCATAATGGGAATATATCTTCTAAATTCAGAATTACCTACTACTAATTCACTAAGAGAACTCGACAATTTAATCTGATAATAGAAACCCATGAAAATAATATTGCTGATACATGGAAAAGTATGTAACGTTGGAATCAAAATCTTATTTCATCGTCGTCTTATGGAGAAGGGAAAGTAACAGATGAATGACGTCAGAGAAATTTGTTTTGTTTTTTTTGTATGTCTTCTATATACTGATTTTATAACTTTATGAGTGTCTTGCTTACTTACAAAGATGAGATACTCATTCAATTTCTATTCGTATTTCTAACGACTTCCAATATCCGATAGTTGGTTGCCGAAATACGTACGTCTTAACAAGATCAAAATTGACACGTATGTAAACGCAGCAGACCAACGTATCAAAAATGTTACCTCTAACCATACAGCTCAATAATCATAAGTAAATCTGCTAGGTTGTACTAGGTGTGTTAAAAAGAACGGGAGAATTTAATTCTTGCGAGTTTGAAGAGTCCAACTGTTATTTTTTATCATGTTTGTATGCACGCCTCTGAAGTATGATCATTGTTTAGTTTGTGGCAGAGTGTAAGGTTAGATGTGTTTGATGAGCTCGGCGACATTCGTTTGTTAAAATAAATGGATCAAATAATTTGTATCAAATTTTGCGTAGAAAATGAAATAAGTGAAACAAAGCATGTGAAATGTTAACAAAGGAGTATGGTGTGTCTGCTATGAGTAAAACAAGAGCTTACGGGTGATATGAGTGTTTAAAAAATGGCCATGAAGACGTTGAAGATAACGAACTCCCCCAACGCCCCAGCAAGCACATCAGCAATCCACGAAAACGTGAAAGAAATTGTTACGAACGATCGACGAATCACAATCAGAGAAGTCGCTGATCATGTCGGCATATCGATTGTCCCATGAAATGAAATTTTTTCGACTAAACTAAAATTGTTGAAATTTAAACAAAAACAGCGTAGATGGAAGTTGCTCAGGAGCCACTAAGTGATGTCATTGACGATCCAGAATTACTGAAACGTGTTATAACAGGCGAAAAAACAAGGGTTCATGGATATAACGACGAAATTAAGGGTCAATCGTTCCAATAGAGGCATCCTGGCTCGCCAAGACCTAAAACAAGTGAGGTCAAACGTGAAGAATGTGCTCACTGTGATCTTCGATTTCAATGGCACAGTGCACCATGAATTCCTGTCGCGAAGTCAAATGGTCAATAAGGAATACTAGCTACAAGTTCAACGCCATTTGCGTGAAATAATCAGAAAAATAACACAAGGATTTGCATTGCTTATTCGTGAATGTTTGATCAAGAACAATACTGTTTCAATGCTCCAGTCTCCAAATTCGTCAGACATAAAATATAGAGAGCCTTAAAGGGTCCTCATTTTACAATATACAGGGTGTCCGCAAAGTTGGGGTTTTCCTTTATACGACGTGTAGATCTTGAAAACATAAGCAATTTTTCTTAGTACCATATACACCAATGTCTTAAGAGAACCGAGATAAAGCGCTCTGCAACATCAAAAATATCTGAATACCGTCCTGTAGCCGCGACATCACCAACTGGTACAAGGTCACTGGCTCAACCCAATGACAGAACTGGGTCGGGGTCAGTGTGTCAGGTCAGTATGCAACCTTCAACCGACGGTTACGGTCACGCGTGTAGAGGTAATCGCGTAGACGAGAATCCCTCAACAAGCACTAGAGACGTGGCTAGAGAAGTGCAAGTATCAAAAACTAAAGTGTGGCAAACGCTGCGTGAAGAGGGGCTGTATCCGTTTCACGTCCAACGTGTACAAGCCCTTCAACCTGACGATTTTCCAGCAAGAGTGCGGTTTTGTGAGTGGTTGTTGCATCAACATGACAATAATCCGGACTTTTGAAGTGCATATTGGTGACAGACGAATCTACGTTCACGCGTAATGGGGTGAATAACTTTCGCAACACTCATGTTTGGTCAGTAGAAAATCCGCACGCTGTCCGTCAGGCACATTTTCAACAAACATTTTCGGTGAATGTTTGGGCTGGCATGTTGATCGGTATGCTCATTGGACCATTTATTCTCCCAAATTTGTCATATTTGTTACCTCTATTCGTGGCCTGCACCACCGCCGGCGTCTGCGCGGTAGTGCATCAGCTGATTTCATTTTCTGTTGGAGCGGTATGATTTCGGGCAAAGACGTACTTAGCTCTTCTGGTCAACTGGAGACTGAGTATTTTTTCCTTTATTTTTTTTTACTTGGTCGCCCTCGTTTCACTACACATTACCTTTGTTATTTCAAGGGTAGTTGTTTCTGAAAAGGAAAACCCCAACTATGCGGACACCCTGTATAGTCTTTATCCAGTGACGCCATTCACATTCTCTTTGTCGCTTGAAATGTGTATTATCGCCACAATTATTAATAATGCCATTTTGGTGATTTGCATAGTTAATTTTTTTATACTTACAGAATGGAGGTGTTGATTGTCCCCGTCATCTTGTTGGCGACGTGCGTCGGGATAGTACCTGTCTGAGTACCTTAGGGTCACGTTTGGTTTGTGTTGGTACTCCTCCAAGTTGATTGGTTTGTAGAGGTAGTCATTCACGAAGTGGAAACTAGACGACTTCTCACAAATATTGTCGTTGCCAGGTGGCATACAAATAAGGTGAACCTAGAAAAATACCATTGATAGTTTAAGAAACCTAAATATAAGATACATGAACAGCAGCATTGAGAACTGTTCGTTCCCAATGGCGAGGCGCGTTCAATGCTGAAAGATATCTTTGTTAGAGGCTTATTAGTATTCACTTAACACAATCGAAAACATTTTGCATTTGATTGACTCGTCTCTGTATTTTCCTGGCCAATAAACCACAGATCTCGAACAAGTTACATACATTCCTAGCTTGTTCAAAGATCAGAAGAAACGTTCTACATCTGTGGTTTCATTTCTCGGGCAGGATAATATGAAAATAAATCATAAAGCCAATCACACCCTTGAGTTTGTCTGGTTTCTGGGCAACCAGGACTGACAGATTCGACTAACGTACATCAGACAGTGACTAATGGGCAAAGGTCCTACGGACCGCCCAGACAAATAAATGACGAATAGTAGTAGCCAATCACAAAGTAAGTTCAATAGCTATAATGTCATTTTTGCTTTCCACGACAACTTGTAAGGAAATATTGTAATCGCGAAAAATTTCGAAAAAAGCATATCAGGAAAACCCATGTCATTCGTCTGTCTGTCTGTCGGTCTGTCTCTTCATTGGCCTGGTTATAACTTCCGGTCAGATTTTAATAAATTTTTGATGCAACCTTACGACCATAAAAGGTGTCCCAATATTCCGTAGACATAGAAGTGCCGCGTGTTTATAGACTCAAAATAAGTTGATTAGTCATGATTTACATTAATGCAAAGGTGCTTCGTTTGTCCGTTAAAGGGCTTCAAAGCTTTTATTAAAACACATTTTCTTCAGATATTTTTGGAACTGATGGTCCGATTTGAATGACATTTGGAAAACATTGCAAAAAACCTGAACGGGTTCGAGAAGGATGAAAACTACACCCACCCCTATATAAATTATAGAACAAAAATTTTGAAACCCTCCCTACGAATCTGTTTTCGTTTATTCAAAAGATCCTTTCATTTGTTTCATTTTTTGTCTGTCAGAAAAACAGACCATCTCGCACCGTTTTCTAGAGGCAAAATGTTTTTCGGAGCTGGTTTCTAAAAAATTATTACATCGAGAGTTAAAATTTTGCAGGAACAAAAATAGTGGTAATATTTCAACACCTTTCATGAAAGATTCGCACTATTGCCTGTAATAAATAAAATTGTTAAACGTAATATCATACTTGTTTATTTTCGCTAGCTACACTTAAGGAATTAATATGACTCTTGGGAACCTATTGATGCAACTAATTTGTATTTCATAACTATCCAAATTGGCCTGTTTTTGAGAAAGACAAAAAATTAAGAAAATAAATAGATCTGCTGAAATGCTGAATAAAAAAATGAGAGTCGTCGGGAAAGTAAGTTGCCAAAAAAATCTGCTATGGTTTCTGTAGAGGCGGGGCTGCTTTTCACCATTCTCAAGCCCTTCAAAGTTTTTCGTAAAATTCAAATATTAGAGCGTCTAGCAAAACATATTTGTTCCAAATTATACTAAGTGACATATAAATCCGAACACTCAGTTTAAATGGTTTTATTTTAATAAAATTTTGTATAAGTACTTAATGAAGCATAGTAAGTAAATGATAAAAATTTCAAAATGATTGCACTGCTTTAAAGCCCTTTGACCTTTAATAATGTGTGGATGCACCCTGATGTGCTACGCATTCTCCAACGCGCCTAGGCATGCTTCTGATCAGGTGGTCAATGTCCTCCTGTGGTATCTCATTCCAGGCAACCACCAACTCCTCTCGAAGTGCTTCTAGAGTCTGAGGAGGACGTTGCAAATTGAACAATCTCCTACCCACCATATCCCACACGTGCTCAATTGGGGATATGTCGGGAGATCTTGGTGGCCATGGTAACAATGTGACATCATTATGTTGAAAGAAGTCTATTGTGACTCTTGCAACATGTGGTCTGGCATTATCTTGTTGGAAAGTTGGACCTGCCAGGGTGTCAAGATAGGGTAAAAGATGGGGTTCTAGACCTTCGTGGATATAACGCTGCGCGTTCATGTTACCTCTGATGAAGATTAAAGGTGACCTGGAACCATAAGCTATAGCACCCCAAACCATAACTCCAACAGTGTGACGAACATGTCTTTCAACAAAAAACTGTGGATTCCTCGTTTCACCACGTCGCCTTCTAACCCTGGCACGACCATCGTGCATGCCTAAACAAAATCGAGACTCGGCACTAAAGACAATACTGTTCCATTCCTGATCCCAGAGTGACCGTTGTCTGGACCACTCAAGGCGATTACGTCGGTGTTCTCGAGTTAAAGGGAGGACCCAGTGTGGCCGGTATGAAAACAAGCCAAAACTTCTCATTCGTCGGTAAACACTTCGCATGCCAATAGGTCTTCCGTGTTCTACAAACCATTCATTTGCAGTGGACCTGGTAGTGGAGAAACGGTCCCTTAAGGCCAATAATCTTAGGCGGCGATCTTCACGGTCTGTTGTTCTACGGCGGCGTCCAGTGCCCCTTGCTCTTTGCGTACGGCCTTCTCGAAGCCATGCCTGACAACACCTAACCAGAGTATCTACACTTCTTTGCACTCTAACTGCAATTGCCCGAAAAGAAGGTCTAGCTTCCCGAAGTCCCACTATACGGCACCTATCAAACTCACTAAGTTGACGAAATCGTACAGGTCTCCGTACTTTAGGCATCGTAACCGATCGTAAAGGATGTCAAGAACCAAAATCCGCCAACGTTGATTCTTTACTGCGGCTGAAATATTCATTTTTAGAGCGTTAGTGAATTAAAAAAAAGCAGTATAAAAACCGGAATGTCCAACTGATAAGGCTGAAACTTTTTTCACTTGTTATTTAGAGTAAGATAAATACATTCACCAACTTTTATTAAAATAAAACCATTTAAACTGGGTGTTCGGATTTATATGTCACTTAGTATACATTCAAACCAGACTATCGGTTCTCGTGATATCTTAAAGACTGTATCTTCAAAAAGAAAACTTTGACGCCCTCTTTCGGTCAAACAAGGCACTTTTGAATAGAAGTGAATCATGTCCCATCGACATATTTTTAGTCTAAAAATTCATGTTTCTTCTAGGTCCACGGAATATTGGGCACCCTGTACAGTTGTGCTAGCTTATGGTGCTCCGTCTGTGTAATACTACTGGTAACATAATATATGATTTTTTGAAGGAGCTAAAACTGTTAATTATAAATAATAGACGTCATCTTCAAGTCCAGCAAGTGACGCATCATTGACGTCTGCCATATGACGGCATCGGTATGTGACATTAAGATGTGATTTGCACGTTACTTTTATGGATTGAACTTGTTATTTCTGATCATTTCATGACCAATATGCAACGTTATTTCCACGTTCTTTGTACTTTTTCAAAACCAATCGAGTAGCGGGGCAGAAGTACAGTCAAAAGACGAAGATAAGTATCGCTCAAATTCCGTTTTTTTTCTGACGTTTGGGAGCAAACATTAGAGGTAAAGAGTCGTAGGAGGTGTATCAACAGCTGACCGATGAGTGGCTGGGCTGTCGATAGGCGAAGTGAGTCATAGCAACGTTGTCAAATTGTCGGAACTGTCGGTAGGGCAGTCGAAAAAAATCTAGATTGCAACGTTATCAAATAGAACTATGGACCTGTTTAGCTAACTAATAAGAAGGGCTAACTTGTGTCGAACTTAATCCTTCATGAACTGATGACAACGTTGCTTGTGGGAAGTGCAGAGCTGATCAGGTGAGACCAGCTCACAACCCTGGCTTAGATATTTTTAATTTTTTACTTCGAAGCAGCCGCGCAGGCAGATCAGTCCGACACGGTCAGGATGAGACGCCCAAGTTAGGCGGGTTGGTCTGACAGGCATACCGCGCGACGGCGTCATGGAAGAGAGCTCCGAGGAGCAACGCCCATTGGCGTAGCGGTAGAAGAGAGCTAGAGAACTCGGCCATCCATCGAAACCGGATAAGCGCTAGGACGCTTTTGTTCGCCAAGGTACAGTACTGTATTTTGGAAACATTGAGCTGTACAAGATTGTTGCGTCACCAAGCAGTGATAACCTCCAGGTCTCTCGTAAGAGAAGAAGTCGCTGCTAATCGTCTTTTCTACAGCTCATCGGCAGAGATTAGCTTGTCATTCTGAATTCCTGTATGTTGAGTGCTGTCATAAAAAGGAGAACCTGTCATTTACGATAGATATCTTGCGACCAGAGAGAAAGTCAGCCACACATCTGAAAAGCTTTTCTGGTAGGCCGTAAAATGGTAGTTTGCTTAAGAGAACAGCATGCCACAGCTGATCGAACGCTTTCGTGATGTCAAGAGCAACGACATGAACTTCACCGTGAGACTGGATCAGTTTACTCCACAAACCATGACGTTCGAGGTACTTCAGAAGCTCCTGATTTATGCATATTTCCATCACCTTATAACAGAAAGCCGAGCGATAGACCTGTAGTTGTAGGAGTCGGTCTTAGGATCCTTTTATCGGTTCGAGCTGGACATGATCAAATTTCCCGTTTTCTGCGAAGATTCGTGAGATATCTTGAAGAGGCGAAGAACTAGAGCAAGCGCCGCTGCGCACCTCTTCAATACAACAGCAGGAATCAAGTCGGGACCTGCTTGCTTACTCCCCGCATAGTGTAGGGAACCCTTTGAATCGACGCGACGGCGCCCAGGCGTTTGGGGGGACGTCCATGGTTTAGTGGGCAGCAAAGATCTTGTCAATCAGTTCCGCATTAGCCCTTGAGTCGGTTACAATCGTTCCATCCCGGCAAGTAAGTGGTGGAAGGCTACTTACTTTCAGTCTGCTTGGCCAGCGTCCAAATACCGACTGCCATTGCGCTACGATATTAAATTGAAGTTCGTCCGGGGTATCGCGGTCAAAACAACACACACGACAACCGTGCTCACTTGGAGTAGTTTGTCAACTCCGCCCATTATCAATCCATAAAAAAATGCTCTGGAAAGCCTTTTAATGAACTAAATAACATTTTCTGTAAGGAACGCCCTAGAGCGTACAAAGATTAGTTATTCTAAGTTATTCTAAGCAAACGCAAATTATGTGTATACAGGATGTTCCTTAATGATATGCGAATATTTAAGGGTGTGAATCTACATGAAAAATTAATGTTAGGTTGCTTTATAAACTATGGTCCAAAAATGTTTCCTGACAAAAACTCGGGGTGTTGAAGTTTTAGGAAAAAAAATGGAAATTAATATTTTCAGAACCGCTTCAGATATTTCAGTGATATTTAGTACGCAGTGAAAGTTAATAAAGTTGCTTTTTTTTCAATGCAAAAATAATGTTTAGCGTCAACAGTGGCGTGCGTACCGGTATTGACTATATTATATATTTTTTAAGAAGAAAATGCTACGCCAATGGTTTTAAGCCAAATAAAAATTATTTTCAAATTCCCCGTTCAATTTAAAATAAATGATCTCTCTTGAGTTGCTTTCCTTTGATGCGCCATTTTTGAGTAAAAAAATAAAAACCGTTCTATTGTCCGAGAAAATTAATGTAATAATTGAAGAATGCAATTTAGCAATAAATATCTAGTTGCTCTGGAATATGTCACTGTTAATAATAGTGAATTGCTCAAATGCAGAAATGGCGGAATTGCATTACGTATATGGCTCTTGCCGATGGTAATGGTGAGCAAGCCAGACGGATTTATCACCAGAGATATTCCGTTCGTGCTTTGCCAGATAGTCGAACCTTTTCTAATATTCATCGTCGTCTTGTTGAAACTGGTTCTGTCCGAAAAGGGATATCTGGAGGTAGATCTCTAAGTGTGAGAACACCTGAAATTGAGGAAGCAGTGCTGCACGAAGTCGAAGAACATCCTGAAACGAGTACGAGGATGATCGCTAGACACTTAAATATTTGCCATCAAATTGTTTGGAGAACTTTAGTGGATTTTTTGTTATCCTTATCATATTTTAAGAGTACAGGCATTATTTCCCATTGATTTTCCAAGGCGTGTGACCTTTTGTCAGTGGTATCTTTAAAAAATTACACAAAATCCGCAATTTGAATCAATGATTCTGTTCACAGACGAAGCTAATTTTTTTCGAAATGACATTCAGAATATTCACAATAATCATTCGTGGACAGAAGAAAATCCCTATGGCGTAACCGAAACCCATTTCCAGCACCAATTGTCGGTTAATGTATGGGCAGGAATTATTGGCAACCAGTTTATTGGCCCATTCTTCTTGTCGGGACGACTTGGCGGGCAGACTTGCCTCAATTTTCTTCAACCTTAGTTGCCTTTGCTGCTTGATGATGTTCGGTTAGTAATAAGAAAGACTATGTGGTACATGCATGATGGTGCAAACTGTTTATCCAAATCGTTGGATTGGCCGCGGTGGGCCCCAAGAATGGCCAGCAAGGTCCCCAGACCTCAACAGCTTAGATTTATTTTTATGGGGCTATCTTAAGACACTAGTGTACACAAGTCCCATTAACACTGTAGAGGAATTAAGAGAAAGATAGAATAAAAAACACTCCAGGGATATTTCAACGAGTGCGCTATTCCATGATACTAAGTCATTTTCATCAATTTTTGTAATCATTTCGTTGGTTTTAATGTTATGTTTATGTTGTCAGTTGTTGTTGTTCCTAACGTGTTTATTTTTTCCAATTAAATTAATAATAATTTTGCAAGATAGACAATAAAACGGTTTTAATTTTTTTACTCAAAAATGGCGCATCGAAGGAAAGCAACTCAAGAGACATCATTTATTTTAAATTGAACTGAGAATTCAAAAATGATTTTTATTTGGAAAAAAACTATTGGCGTACCATTTTTTTCTTAAAAAATATCGAAGTCAACACCCGTACACAAGCCACTATTGAAGATAAAAATTATTTTTGCATTGAAAAATATGCAACTTTATTAACTTTCACTACGTACTAAATATCAGTGAAGTATCTGAAGCGTTTCTGAAAATATTATTTAATTTCCATTTTTCTCCTAAAATTTCAGCACCCCGAGTTTTTGTAAGGAAACATTTTTGGACCATAGTTTATAAAGCAAACTAACATTAATTTTTCATGTAGATTCGCACCCTTAAATAATCGCATATCATTAAGGATCATCCTATATAGTTTTCTTTACAATGTGACATAGTTTGAAAAATTCTTAGTGCTATTCCTGCAGTATAGTGGTTCAAGCTTAAAAAAATTATACAAGACTCACAAGTATTTGATGAGCACTATACCTGGTGGAATGTAAATCCATTAGGGCATATCCACGAATGTCTGGCATTGTCTTGGCAATAATGAAATACTTCGCAGCCCAACTCTTCGTCAGCATAGTAGCCAGTAGTTCTTGCATTGCACGTGAATTTGGTCTGAGGTAAAAGTTCTGTTAGGCGGTCAGGCTCTTCTTCCTCTTCTTTGTCCTCCAGTTTGTTACCCTAGAAGTAGTTCAACTTGATTACTATATACGATACCTCTAGGAGCTAAGAACACCAATCGATATCAAGTCTCTTTCATTGTATCGCGAACATCAACCACGTGATTATGTACAAATAGGGTACTTTTGAAACAGGATAGTGAGAAATATAAAGGAGCTCTTATTTTGAGCAAGTACAAAATTATTGCTGACAAGCTGTGCAATAGGGAACTGGCTATATCCTTAATAAAGGGTTTTCGCAGAAAAATTCCTCGTCCAATACATGAGTATTTTTGGGATTCTTTCTGCCTAAATTGGATAATGTCCTTGTAAATAACGTATGGTTTCAACAGAATGGTGCCTCATGCCATTAATACAGCTAGTGAACAATTCAGTGGTACATCTTTTGATCGTGTCCGATTCGATTATTAGAACTGGCCCCTTAAATCATGTAAATTTACATTATTGGATTTTCTTTTTGTGGAGTTATTTGAAGGCACGTATTGAAGGAGGGAAGTCAATGCCACCAGAAGTAAACTTGACCAAACAAAAGTTAGTAAGTGAAACACATCACTTGTCTTAATTTTCGGATTTTCTGATATAATGCTCAGATCAGAATAAACAAAGATATTAAAAATTTATTTTGGTTTGTTTGTGTATGCTACTGTTTTTAACATCTTTGTCTATTTTGATCTGTATTTTCAAACACATAACTTCATTTGGTATCTTTGTTAATTTGTACAAAAATATTCTTCACATTTTGTAGCTTTGAGTAAAGTTCATCATTGAGTAATCAGCATTATATCCCAAAATCCGAAAATTAAGTACTGGTCTTAGAAGTAGCAACTAAGTAAGATATATCAAGCATAATACCACTTTGTATTAAAGTAGTCCGTTTTACATGAGCCAAAATCTCTACAACGTCTATAAAATGTTCTAATAATGATACTTTATTCAAGAATCCGTTAAAGGTGTTTTTGTTACACAGCTTTTATTCTGTTTATTTTATTTCTAAATGGTTAAATTATGTATTTATTGTCTCTGTGATGTTTGCCTACTTGTGTATGTGTTCATGTGTGTCCAAAAAAAGGTTTTATTCATCGTCATAAATGCTACTGTTTCAACTTATTTATTCTATTATGATGATATATCTAATATATGTAAAGATCTGAAGAATCAATATATTATTATTATATTATTATTATTACATACATAGGGCTACTTTAAAAAAGTATATTTTTCATTTTGTGGCGTCATACAAATTGTAAACAAATAAGCGTTATTCGTATGTAACTCGAGGACTAAAGCTGTCTTATTCAAATGTTTATAAAAAAACTCCTAATCAAGGTAAAAAGGTTTCGTTCTCTCATTTTATTGGAGAAAACGATCATGGACGTTGAGTTGGTAAAAGCAGAAAGCACAAATTTGCCGAAAATGTATAGCTTGATAGCTTGTTATGTTTTTGCCTTCTACCCAGATTTCTGTTCGACTATGTAATATGTATGTAATACTTCTATGTAAGTCTAGTACATCTGGTATAATGATAGACATAAAAAATAATAGGTAATACGCTAAAATAATCTTTGTTTTCAGAAGTCATTCAAAACTAAGCTCATAACCTCTGAATAATTTATTATGTACAAGGCTTGTTCAATTGAAACCCATCTTTGATCAGGATAGCCTTAGAAACAATTCTAATCACTTAACTGACGTTTTACAACGTTGTTTGTTTTTGTAGACGTAGTTCCTGTCATTTGTATTTGACTGCGATTTTAAGCATTGTGAACTAAAAATGCCGTCCAAATAAAATCAGCGTGCGGTCATCTAATTTTTGCGTGCTTTATGTTTGGAAACACATGTTTTGCGTATTCAACTGTCAGGGAATGGAGTTGAAAATTTAAGAGTTGAAGAGAGGAGGCGACTGGTAAGCCGCGACCAGTGGAATTAAGTAGGTACTGCAACAGATAGGAATGTGGCATGTGTGGAAGGCATGCTTAGAGAAAATTGTTTATAGTATCGTACACAATTTGGGTTACAGCAAAGTTTGTGCACAATGGGTTTCTCACCTTTTGTCAGAAAACCAAAAATCTTGCGAAAGGGCGTATCTTTGCAACATCTCACGGAACACAAGCAAAACGGTAAGGACTTTCTTTCTTTAACAGTTGTTGGCGACGAATCTTGGTGTCATTATTTTGAACCGTCCAGCTCTCGTCGATGCAATGGAAACAAGCAAATTCTAGGTCACCAAAGAAGTTTAATGTTAAACCTTCTGCAAGCAAGGTCATGTCAACATTTTTTTTTCGCCCAAGAGGGACCCTTGCTCATATAGCTTAAAGAGCCTAGAGTCCATATCACCGCAAGCCTATAGATATAATGAAACTTTGAACAATCTCCATCAAGCAATAAGACTAAAACGTGTCATTGTTCTGCACGACAATGCTCGGCCTAATGTTGCCAGAGTAGTGTAAGAAAATCTACAACGAAATAAATGGAGGATATTAGAGCATCCACCCTAGAGTCCCGATTTATCGCCTTGCAATTTTCACATCTTTGAGCCACTGAAAAAGGAGTTAAAAGGTAAGTATTTTCAGTCGGTCGAAGAAGTACAAGATGCCGTAAACGAATTCGTCAAGCAGCAGCCACAAGAATTACTTAAGCAGAGTATACATCGACTGGTGAAACAATGAGATATGTGCCTTATTGTAGTGGTAATTATTTTTAGATATATACATATATATGTGTATATAACAAAAATAGGAAAATAGTGGGCAAAATCCGCAAAAAGAAGGAAAGTGGATTCGAACAGAAAATAGGATAGGTAACCCGAGCGATACGTATTTCTGCTGGTTGGCTTCATCAGGCCCGAAATTAATAATTTTCTCTTTATATATATACAGGGTGTTCCATAATTATTGCGACAAAATGATAGGGGTTGTAGAGGGCATCAAAATGAACAATTTTTCCTCATAAACCCCTGTTCGGAAACATGCCGTTTGGGCTGCAGCAAAAAAAAAGATCAGTTTCTTGAAACAGCTTACCTACAGTAATTGCTCAAAGTGTCCTCCACCTTGCTCAATACACACCTGTGCACGATTGTTCAATGATCGGCGAACTCTGTGGCATACCCCCGGTATGTCCTGAATATGTGCGGACGCGGCCATCACTCTTCCCAGTAGCTCTTGTTGGTTGGGAACAGGAGTTTCGTACACTAAAGCTTTCAGATAGCTCCAGATAAAATAATCCAGTGGAGTCAGGTCAAGTGATCGCGCAGGCCAAGGCACAGGGCCACCTCGGCCTATCCACCTATTTGGAAATTTGTCGTCCAAATACTGCCGCACTTGTAAAGAAAAGTGGGCTGGACCGCCATGATGTTGAAACCACATGTTGGCTCTTATATTCAGTGGCACATTTTCTAATAGTTCCGGTAGCACATGCTGTAAGGATCGACCATAAGCATGCCCATCCAAACGTGGTGGAAGCAGATATGGCCCGATGATATGCTCGTCCACAATGCCGCACCAGATGTTAATTGAAAACTGATGTTGGTCTCTATGGATGGCTATGGCATGAGGGTTTTCTTCATCCCAAATGTGACTGTTACGGCTATTAAAATAACCGTCCTTTGTAAAACAGGACTCGTCAGTGAACAAAACGTAGCGACCAAAGTTTGGTTGCCTCAACTCCTGCTGCAGCCACCAACGACAAAAACGTCGACGCGGCAGATAGTCTGCTGGACCCATGGCTTGGACTTTTAAAAGGTGGTACGGGTGTACGATAACAAAAATGTAAACACAGCAGGCTTTTTCTACAAACCGGCGAGACCATGAAATGTGCTAGACGAACATTTTGCAGCTGGTGAATTTTTTGTTTCTCCTATGAGCTCTTAAGGTAAAATTAACTGTAGTGCTCAAACGGCATATTTACGAACAGGGGTTTATAAGGCAAAATTGCATATTTTTATGCCCTCTACAACCCCTATCATTTTGTCGCAATAATTATGGAACACCCTGTATATATATATATACAGGGTTATCCAAATTAAGTGTCCACCATTAGTAACTTTGTTATTAGTGAAAATACAAAGTTGTTTGAATTAGCAAACTAGTAGCATTTTTAACGCTGGTAAAAATGAGAAATAAAAAAAAACAATTGAGAGTCGTTATTTTGATTTTTTTCAGTAAAATAACATTTTTTTAAAAGGAAACCCCTGTATATTATATTTTTTTCTGTTAAAGCATCAAATTTTAAACAAAAAAGCTTACAATAACTTTTCTCCTAGGTTACAAATTGTTGAAGTTATGGCCTCCAATCTGAAACAATTAAATTGTATCGACAAACTTTATTTTCAACATCAACTTATAATCTTACAAAATACAATAACAATTTTTTTTAAAGAAGATGCTCGAAAACACCACCTTTTTCTTCAATACATTTTTGGGCACGTTTTTCAACTGCTCGAACTGTCTTAAGTATGGTCCTACCATCTATCTGGGTTATCTTTTCCCTAACTGCAGTCTTTAACGCGTCAAGGTTATCGTACCTTCGCTTGTAAATTTGGTTATTTAAGTAACCCCACAAGAAGTAATCAAGTGGGTTTAGATCTGGTGATCTGGGAGGCCACTGTATTGGGCCATTTGTTCCTATCCACTGATCATTAAAAGTAGTACTTAGAAAATTATAAGTACCTCTGGAGTTGTGGGCAGGTGCGCCATCTTGCTGAAAATGCAGATGATGTCTACTTATAAGATCCAATTCGTCTAAGAAATTAGTCAGAATTTCTGACATAAATTCCACATATCTTTCACCAGTTAGGGTTCCCTCATAAATGAACGGGCCAACAATTTTTGAACCAATTATACCGCACCAAACGTTGAAACTGAAACGGACTTGTGGGCCTCTTGGATGTACTAACAAAAGATTTTCTCTTGACCAATAATGGTGGTTTTTTCTATTAAACATTCCAGAATTTGAAAAATTTGATTCATCTGTCCATAAAAGGTAACGAAAGTTATTTACATTTTGGCGACAGAAGCTAAGATACCAATGGCAAAAAACAAGTCTTCTCTCTGGATCCCCTGCCAAAAGCGTTTGAACTGGTCGGTACTTATACGGAATAAATTTGTATTTTTGTAAAATCCTTTGAACAGTACCATAACTGAAATTAGAGTCCTTGAGAATATATGCTATTGAATTCTCACGATAAGCTTCAAAATATCCAATCTCTGCAATTTCCGTGGCCTCGCTTATTATGAATTCTTTTTTTGCCCTTGTTTTAGCAAAAACATTTTCGTTGCCCCTAAATTTTCGATAAAGTCTCAGAAAATATCGTTCATACGGTTGAATGCGAGCGGGATATAATTCACTGTAGTATTCTCTTGCTCTCAAGGAGGATTTTCTGCACACTAAATAGCATTCTAACATATCACACTTTTCTTCATGGGAGAACATTTTTCTTTAAATTAATGACACAATAAAGCTTATAAACAAGTATTTACACTAATGTTTGACATTATTTGATTTTATCATTGTTTTCCAAAGCCTTCTAGTTGCGAGTATGTCCAGTTTAACAATTTGTCGCTTATCTTAATGCTGTCAAATCGCGAACGCCATGTTGTTTTCATAGCCGTCTTAATATTATAATACTGCAAATAATTAAAAATATTTATCGCTATTTCGACTTTATTTTTGACTTTAGCGGAAAAGTCATTATGAAGTTTTTTGTTTAAAATTTGATGCTTTAACAGAAAAAAATATAATATACAGGGGTTTCCATTTAAAAAAATGTTATTTTACTGAAAAAAATCAAAATAACGACTCTCAATTGTTTTTTTTATTTCTCATTTTTACCAGCGTTAAAAATGCTACTAATTTGCTAATTTAAACAACTTTGTATTTTTACTAATAACAAAGTTACCAATGGTGGACACTTAATTTGGATAACCCTGTATATATATATATATATATATATATATATATATATATATATATATATATATATATATATATATATATATTGTATAACTTGAGACGTGATCATTGTCATTGTCCCGCTGCTTGGCTTAACTAACACAGTCTACTCCATCAATTGCAACAACTGCTACCAAATATACATAGGTCAGACCTCCAGATCTCTTAAAGGAAGGATTACATTACACAAAAGTGATGCTAGGCTTCATCCTGAAAGATGCGCTCTAGCATCTCATGTTAACACAACAGGGCATTCTATGAATTACACAAGTATCAAAGTTCTTGATAAAGAAAAACACCTTTCCAAACGTTTATTCCTGGAAATGTCCCACATTTTCATGAATAACAACTGTACCAACAAAAAGACAGATATTAAACAACTGAGTGTCATTTACTCATATTTGCTAAACTGCGAAAAATTGGAGAACTTACATATCTCCCCAAATTTCGACTTTTCACAACCATAAATATAATCTGTGTTTTGGCCGATTCCACCAACAAATTTCATTCCACTCAAAATCTAATAATTCTCTTCTCACGATTTATTAATAATTATTAATTTAAAATTCCCATTAATTAAAATATAGTTTATTCAACTGCCTCTGGTCGGTTTAACAATTTCTTACATAACATTCTGAAAATCATATCATCTGAAGTGATTTGGCAACGTTTTGGCACACGCCCACAATTCGTTCCATCTTTCAACACAGACATTGACAACCTTCGGCCTTCTGTCAAAGGTTCATCTCACTCATTATTCCATGACCACCATTTTGTGCAATCATCAAGTGGCTTCACGACGTAATGCTCTAATGTTTTCTAAATAATTTTTAATCTGTCTTTAACTTGTCTTGTCATATTTTATATAATTTTAACCATTGTACCATGTATCCAGCTCTCACCATGTTACTGGACGTTTCCCTCATCCTATACGAAAACAACAATTAGCAATATCCTCACATACTACTGTAAGTTGATTCAATTTAAATTCATTTTACACTTTTGTTGCTACTGTTATCATTGTAATTGCAGCTCCTGATGATGATGACAAAGTCCATTGAAAGCTAGAGAGAATTAAAAAAAGTATAAAGAGTCCTCTTTGCTTAAATTTTGTCGAAGTACCCAACAAAAGGCGGAAGCTTCATTTTTCACCTAACTGGTCTAGACGACAATGACCACGTCTCAAGTTATATATATATATATATATATATATCTATTTGCCAATATTTTTTTTCTGGGCCAAACATGGGTTTCAATTGAACAAGCCTCGTATTTCTTCTTACGCATCTGTAAGGTAATTGTACCGTGATTCCATACGTTACGTCCAACTCAAACCAGACGATGAAATTTGCACAGTAAAATGTAAACATAAGGTACGCTTTAAGCAATACAGTGAGTGCTGCATATATTAATTTCCTTGGGCGTCCTAATCCACAGCTTTCATGGGACCTTTACATTGTCTGACTATACAATAACGATAATTACTGTATTTTTCATGTAAACTACTATTAGTTATGTTTATATGCTTGAAAGTTTGAGAGGTTATGCTGCTGTCAGCTGCTGTTTACAAATGGTATGACGTCAGAACACATTAATATTGGCCAAACATGGAGGCGTTTTAGGTCTGAAAAAATATAGTTTAATTTTTTTTTGTTTAATAGTACTAATATCAACTATTTAAGAGCTACTTGAAACAAGTTATTTATGGGTGCCGAAAATTCGGATGTACATAGAAAGGTTCAAATATGTAGTTAACCTACCTCGGGTCGTCTGCCCTCTTGAGGTCTCCTCTGTTGTTGATGCTGAATGGGATATGGTTTAGGAGTCTGCTTTACATGAGCTGGATAGTTATTGAACTGCTGCTGTTGAACCTTCACTGGTATGGGGTAGTTCTGGAACGTTGGTGTTCTGTCTTGAGTAGCTCCTGTTTGGCTGCAAAGTAAGTATAAAATAATAAAAACAATAATACATTCTGCGTTAAGCTCAAGTCTAATAATCGTGAATCAGTGGCCTTATGTGATTGTATAAGATTAATAAATAGAATTGTTTCTCAAAGTAGAGGCATCTACAATCTATTTAAGCAGTGGTTCCATGTTCAGGAACAAAAGCAAAAAAATCGTGTACGGTATGCCAATTGCATATTATATGTCCATCCCTGTAACTATCATTCAACCTCATACTTTGTATCTCGCGGTATACACCGGTCATTCCGTATTTGGTAAAAACACTAGAATTGTGGTATCACAGTCAATGAAAACCGCAAACCAATATTATCTAATTCTTGTCCGTTCAAACAGTCATACCAAGAATCTGCAGTGCGAGGCATTCATAGGTCGAATTCCTCGACAAAGAAATATTTGCAATCACACTGCTTCCAGTGCCATTCGATTAAGTAAACAATCAAGGCAGTCTTCGTTCCACAAGATTGGAATTTTTTACTCTTTTAATATTTTGGTGAATGCACATCCCTACTCAATTTAGCTTAATGTGCTTTCACCATATTTCGCAAAAATCCTGACCAATCCCACATAAAAAACGGTGTTGTTGGCCAAAATCGGCAATAAATTGCGCAACACGATTTAGAATTAACTCAGCATGGGGCTGAAGTATCTATAAATGCCGATTCTTTGCTTCTAAACAAAATCAGAGCAACATTGAAGTCTCCGACATGATTTTGTAATTCTATGTTTAATAATCGTATTTACGTTACCTCCCGGAAAATTTTATAAAAGAATTTGACCATCCGCACTTAAAAGGTGCCATTCTGAACTGAAGAGTGAAGCCATATTGTTTTCAGTCGGATATTTTAATTTTTTGTGACACTATCTTCATAATGGCAGTAAGTTAACAGCTGAATGATTTTTTATCGAATAGAAACGTACGATAATTGTTTGATACCTAGTCTTTTACAGGTTTCATAATTCATCAAACTCTTATATACTGGGAGATTAAAAAACAATTCCAACATTTCTAGCATAAAATGTGGGTAATATAAATTAGAGGTAACTCAAACTTTGGACATTCTAATAAGGTGCACTTAGATAACATCATTTGTCAGTAACTATTATTCACCCTATAATATTTGCACTCAATTCGGTTGATGCACATTTAAAGGCAGAGGGATTGTTCCACAAAATTGTTCTACTTACAGTTACAGAAATCTTTTACCAAAATAACTAGCAAACTCATCAAAATCGACATAGTTGTTGTTGTTTGGATAGAGGGTTGGCACTGTAAAAAATCATTTGCCACAAAAAGTTGTTGATGTATTTTTCAAACAAATGTACCTATGTCTAATTTATTGTTTCGTAGAAAGTGAATCAGTTCATCCAAAACTGACTTGATGTTTGAATTTTTTAGCATATTTTTTAGCTGCCAGCCTTTCAGAAGCTTTCTCACACCATGCCACCCAGCCTATGAATTGTCTCTATAATAGAGTATTTTTTGAGGTACAACTGATTTTGGGGAATCATTTCCTTGGGGGTGAAAATGAATTTATAAACATATTTTTTTATCTGCCAGCCTTTCAGAAGCTTTCTCACACCATGCCACCTAGCCTATAAATTGTCTCAATAATAGAGTATTTTTTTGAGGTACAACTGGGTTTGGGGAATCGTTTCCTTGGGGGTGAAAATGAATTTATAAACATATTTTATAACTGCCACCGTTTCAGAAATTATCTCACACCATGCCACCTAGCCTACAAATTGTCCCTATAATAGAGTATTTTTTTGAGGTACAACTGATTTTGGGGAATCATTTCCTTGGGGGAGAAAATGAATTTATAAACATATTTTTTTATCTGCCAGCCTTCTCACACCTTGCCACCCAGCCTATAAATTGTCTCTATAATAGTGTATTTTTTTTTAGTTCAAGTGATTTTGGGGAATCATTTCCTTGGGGGTGGAAATGAATTTTTTAGCATATTTTTTTATATGCCAGCCTTTCAGAAGCTTTCTCACACCATGCCACCTAGCCTATAAATAGTCTCGATAATAGAGTATTTTTTTGAGGTACAACTGATTTTGGGGAATCATTTCCTTGGGGGTGAAAATGAATTTTTTAGCATATTTTTTATCTGCCAGCCTTTCAGAAGCTTTCTCTTACCATGCCACCCAGCCTATAAATTGTCTCTATAATAGAGTATTTTTTTGAGGTTCAACTGATTTAGGAGAATCATTGCCTTGTTCAAATGTACAAAGTCGTTCACGCTCCGAGTATTCAAGTCCAACAATTGTTAGCTTTGCTTCAGGAGTAATGAGGTTACATCAATTATTGAAGATGTGTAGGACTGAGCTAGGAATGGGCTATTGCTCCTCGTGCGGAATGTATTTGTCTTGTCACCAATTTTGGGATTAAATGGTTAACATGTAACTATCGAAATGTGATAGATAAAGTATATATTTTTTGCATACTAACAAATTGCTTGTGACATCGAGAGAAGGCTCCACAGTCGAAGCTAAAATAGCTGGGGTAGGTGATGACCCGAAGGCTCCAATAGAAATCCTTACAGCGCTATACTGAATTCTGTATATTTTCTTCAAATCGGTGTTTGCTGCCCCAAGGTACAGAATGCAGCCATAACGAGATAGGAACATTCAGTTTTTTTTTTGACACACTTCAATATATCAAAACCTTTTTCAGCCTGATTGCATATATGACTTATATGACTTCCCCTGTTTGTACTCTTTTTAACGGGTATTTCGAGACCACATAATCTAAATAAGATGGCGCAAAGCGACATCTATCACCGGAATCGACCACTGCGGAAAGCGCAGAGCAGCTATTTGTTGGAATTGTAAAGATCTCAGTTCGCGTTTAATAGCCCAGCCACCATGTGACCGGTAGATTGCTGACGATTCTCGCTATACAGGGTGACTTTGAAGTTGAGTCATTAATTTTCAGATAATGATTGTAGAAGGAAGATAAACCAAAATATGTGTGTAAAAATAAAAAAAAATTAAAAAAAAAGTTTTACCTTGTTTTATAAAGTATCCTCCCCACAAGTATTTCAGTGCGGACCTGTATTTGATCGTGAGGTCCCCTGTGAGGTCTTAAGTCACCTGATTCACGAGCCCGTTGTACTACATTAACAAAGGCACGAGGGGTTGGTTGCACTCGAGTGGGAAACCGATCCGCATAAACATGTGCCATTTTTTATTTCGTTTGAGCCACGCAACAGACACTATTCACACGCGTTACCGACTGACACTAACTGCATGTATAACTGAACTGAATAAAATAATTGTAAAAACATCGTTCCAAATTCTTTCGCTTTTTTGTTTCCGATGCGATGAACCGATAAGGCGGATTATATCCGTTGTTGCCAAACACGAGCACATGATATTATTATTGAGACAGGGCGGTACTCAAACTTCCAAAGGGCTATAACTTTGTTACTTTAATTTTACCAGAAAAATGGTAAAGGAAAAAAACATTTCTTTTGATCAGATCTACTCACTGTTAAAATAAATGACTCAACTTCGAAGTCACCCTGTATAGTAAATTGAATAAGCTAAACATGCTTTTGTCTGTCCGACTAAAAGACAGCCAACAATGGACAGCTAGGTTTGGACTTGTCCCAGAGGCAATAGACCAAGATTGTATCTGGGATTTGAAGTATGTGCCTGGTAAAAATATAATGGGTGATTTTTCTTCCAAGCGAGATCACTAAACCATAGCTTAATGCAATACGTTTTATATTTGAAAGTTGTAATTAGGGATGTAACGGGTACCCGGCCTACCCGGCAGAAGCCGGGTACAAGGCTTATTTGACGAGGTACCCGGTTTTGCCGGGTAATCATTCTATCCGGCCGGGTAGACTGAATAAAAGAAAAAAAATTATTGAAAAAGATAGAGTCCAAAGAGCCCGTAAAAACAACTTAAATACATAATATATTAAATAATATAGGTATTAAGTAAAAACTACATTATTTAAACCAGTTAAATTGTACAAAAAGAAAACAGAAAACGAATTTACACGTACATAATCTAATATTTAAAATTAAGTAAAGGAAGATTATGATGGAGGTAGGTTAGCATTTCGCCATTTTCTGCAGTTAGCCTACTTCGTTTTTCTTCGACAATCATTCCAGCTTCTGAAAACAGCCTCTCACTGAATATTGTTAAAGCCGGAGCTGATAGAAACATCTAAACAAGATCTGCTAATTTGGGAAAACTCTTATGATTAATTTTCCACCAAGAAAGAGGGCAATAAGTGGCAATTTCAAATAAGAATTGAATTGAGTTTCCACAGTTTCTAAATTTTTGGAAGTTCCTGCAATACTGTCGCGGCTATGTGCAATATTCTAAAATATATCCCAAATAGACTCGTTAGGTTTCTTTCGTTTTTCGGGTATCTTAAATAAAGTGCTAAGCGGAACATCATCGTCAGATTCATCAGAACTTAAATCTACTGTCGTAACGCAAGCTTTATTGTTGTCAATAGGTATCATATCCACAGTTAGACTCAGAATATAAAATATCAACTGTTGTTTTACGTTTATCAGTGAAAATGCATCCTTGTACCAGGGATCCAAAAAGTAGCTATTAAAAAATTATTGTTATTCTCAATTTCACAAAAACGCTTAGTCAAATTTTCTAGCAAACTTTGCTGTAAATTTTCTAGTCCATAAATTTTAATTTCCATTGAAAAACTTCTTAATGACAAAACTGTAGGAATCGCTTCTGATATTATACATAATTCTCTGCTAAAATGTTGGGTAGTTTGCTCTAATGGTTGTAAAAGTCGTAAAAGCTTTTCCAACGAATCCCACTGACTTGGTGTCAAAGAGCGAACCGGATCAACTTCCGTGGCAGGCAAGTTAATGACCCTTCGCTGCTCGATAAGTCTTTCTAATAGATAAAACGTGGAATTCCAACGTGTTTGAACATCTTGAACCATTTTTTTGATAGGTAGTTTGACGTCTTTC